AACCTGCTGGCCTGGGCGCTGGTGATACACGCAGGTGTATTCATGGGAGTGTCCTGCTCTCCCACAGTACACCCACAACCCTCGCCTGAAGTCACCCACATCAACACACCCGCCAGTCACCCACCACAGCCAGACCAACAGCCAGAGCTACACACACCCAGCCAGAAAGGTGAGATTATGTGTCACAGTGGATGTGACCCCAGAGGTGCGTGTGTCAGACACATCCAGAGGAATGTGTTACGGTGTGTCTGGATACGTGAACACGTGATGTGTGTGTGCGTACTCTCCTAGTTGTAGTTGCAGGTGTCGATTCATAGCTCCTGGCCCCGCCTCTTCGCTTGCCGCTACTAGGTCACTCTTCTGTTCCATGAGCTCTATCATACCTCTTTCTAACGCTATGTATGGATCCTGCCTCCACTCTATCACTTCCCAGGCTATTCCACTTCCTGACAACTCTGCGACTGAAAAAAATACTTCCTAACATCCCTGTGATTCATCTGAGTCTTCAACTTCCAACTATGGCCCCTGTTGCTGTGTCCCATCTCTGGAACATCCTGTCTCTGTCCCCCTTGTTGATTCCTCTCAGTATTTTATATGTCGTTATCATGTCCCCCCTATCTCTCCTGTCATCCAGTGTCGTCAGGTTGATTTCCCTTAACCTCTCCTCGTAGGACATACCTCTTAGCTCTGGGACTAGTCTTGTTGCAAACCTTTGCACTTTCTCTAGTTTCTTTACATGCTTGGCTAGGTGTGGGTTCCAAACTGGTGCCGCATACTCCAATATGGGCCTAACGTACACGGTGTACAGGGTCCTGAATGATTCCTTATTAAGATGTCGGAATGCTGTTCTTAGCTTCATGTGTGTGTATACGAGATGTGTGTGTGTGTATACGAGATGTGTGTGTGTATACGAGATGTGTGTGTGTGTATACGAGATGTGTGTGTGTGTATACGAGATGTGTGTGTGTATACGAGATGTGTGTGTGTGTATACGAGATGTGTGTGTGTATACGAGATGTGTGTGTGTATGTATGTACACATGTGAACGCGGTAAACCCGTAGTGGTCTTACAGAGATTTACACAACAGTTAGAAAAGAAAGTTAAAATGTGGTTGTTGGTATCTCTTCATGGTGGCACTACCCATGGTGGCACTGCCCATGGTGGCACTGCCCATGGTGGCACTGCCCATGGTGGCACTGCCCGTGGTGGCACTGCCCGTGGTGGCACTGCCCGTGGTGGCACTGCCCGTGGTGGCACTGCCCGTGGTGGCACTGCCCGTGGTGGCACTGCCCATGGTGGCACTGCCCATGGTGGCACTGCCCATGGTGGCACTGCCCATGGTGGCACTGCCCGTGGTGGCACTGCCCATGGTGGCACTGCCCGTGGTGGCACTGCCCGTGGTGGCACTGCCCATGGTGGCACTGCCCATGGTGGCACTGCCCGTGGTGGCACTGCCCATGGTGGCACTGCCGTGGTGGCACTGCCCGTGGTGGCACTGCCCATGGTGGCACTGCCCGTGGTGGCACTGCCCGTGGTGGCACTGCCCGTGGTGGCACTGCCCGTGGTGGCACTGCCCGTGGTGGCACTGCCCATGGTGGCACTGCCCATGGTGGCACTGCCCATGGTGGCACTGCCCGTGGTGGCACTGCCCGTGGTGGCACTGCCCGTGGTGGCACTGCCCATGGTGGCACTACCCATGGTGGCACTGCCCATGGTGGCACTGCCCGTGGTGGCACTGCCCGTGGTGGCACTGCCCGTGGTGGCACTGCCCATGGTGGCACTGCCCATGGTGGCACTGCCCATGGTGGCACTGCCCATGGTGGCACTGCCCGTGGTGGCACTGCCCGTGGTGGCACTGCCCATGGTGGCACTGCCCGTGGTGGCACTGCCCGTGGTGGCACTGCCCGTGGTGGCACTGCCCGTGGTGGCACTGCCCGTGGTGGCACTACCCGTGGTGGCACTGCCCGTGGTGGCACTGCCCATGGTGGCACTACCCATGGTGGCTCTACCCATGGTGGCACTACCCATGGTGGCACTACCCATGGTGGCACTACCCATGGTGGCACTACCCATGGTGGCACTACCCATGGTGACACTGCCCATGGTGGCACTACCCATGGTGTGAACTCTACCCATGGTGGCACTGCCCGTGGTGGCACTGCCCATGGTGGCACTACCCATTGTGGCTCTACCCATGGTGGCACTACCCATGGTGGCACTACCCATGGTGGCACTACCCATGGTGGCTCTACCCATGGTGACACTGCCCATGGTGGCACTACCCATGGTGGCTCTACCCATGGTGGCACTGCCCATGGTGGCACTACCCATGGTGGCTCTACCCATGGTGGTACTGCCAGTGGTGGCACTACCCATGGTGGCACTACCCATGGTGGCACTTCCCGTGGTGGCACTACCCATGGTGGCACTACCCATGGTGGCACTGCCCATGGTGTGAACTATCCACAGTGGCACTACCCATGGTGTGAATTAACCATGGTGGCACTACCCATGGTGTGAACTATCCATAGTGGCACTACCCATGGTGTGAATTAACCATGGTGGCACTACCCATGGTGTGAACTAACCATGGTGGCACTACCTATGGTGGCACTACCCATGGTGGCACTACCCATGGTGTGAACTAACCATGGTGGCACTACCCATGGTGTGAACTAACCATGGTGGCACTACCCATGGTGGCACTACCCATGGTGGCACTATCCATGGTGTGAACTAACCATGGTGGCACTACCCATGGTGTGAACTAACCATGGTGGCACTACCCATGGTGTGAACTAACCATGGTGGCACTACCCATGGTGGCACTAAACCCATGGTGGCACTACCCATGGTGGCACTAAACCCCTGGTGGCCTATCCATGGTGTGAACTAACCATGGTGGCACTACCCATGGTGTGAACTAACCATGGTGGCACTACCCATGGTGTGAACTAACCATGGTGGCACTACCTATGGTGGCACTACCCATGGTGGCACTACCCATGGTATGAACTAACCATGGTGGCACTACCCATGGTGGCACTACCCATGGTGTGAACTAACCATGGTGGCACTACCTATGGTGGCACTACCCATGGTGGCACTACCCATGGTGTGAACTAACCATGGTGGCACTACCCATGGTAGCACTACCAATGGTGTGAACTATCCATGGTGGCACTACCCATGGTGTGAACTAACCATGGTGGCACTACCCATGGTGTGAACTAACCATGGTGGCACTACCCATGGTAGCACTACCAATGGTGTGAACTATCCATGGGGCAGGTAAGGGAGTGTCCCTGACCCACCCATGGGGTGAGTCAGGGGACACTACCCACAAATGATTACCAATTTGCCTGGACAAGAGCAGAGGTGTGCTGGTGGTGCCTCAACTACATTATTACTGTCTGACCTTAACCCAAAATGCAACCCATAACAGTTGATTACCACCCAGGTACCTATTTACTGCTGGGTGACCAAGGGCAACAGGTGTGTGTGTGTGTGTGTGTGTGTGTGTGTGTGTGTGTGTGTGTGTGTGTGTGTGTGTGTGTGTATGTATGTGTGTGCTCATCTATTATTACTCACCCATTTGTGATTGCAGAGGTAAGATAAGATAAGATAAGATAAGATTTCGTTCGGATTTTTAACCCCGGAGGGTTAGCCACCCAGGATAACCCAAGAAAGTCAGTGCGTCATCGAGGACTGTCTAACTTATTTCCATTGGGGTCCTTAATCTTGTCCCCCAGGATGCGACCCGCACCAGTCGACTAACACCCAGGTACCTATTTGCTGCTAGGTGAACAGGACAACAGGTGTAAGGAAACGTGTCGAAATGTTTCCACCAGCCGGGAATCGAACCCGGGCCCTCCGTGTGTGAGGCGGGAGCTTTAGCCACCAGGGCACCGGGCCACCGTTAGGTTAGGTTAGGTCTCAGCTCCTGGCCCTGGCTCTGTCTTGGTAGATGTTAGTGTTGTTCCTGGCATCCCTATCATACCCTGGAACCTGCCTTCCTTTCTGACTACTCTCAAGCTTAAGAAATACTTCTTGACATCCCTGTGACTCATCTTTATCTTTCAGCTGTGTCCCTGTGTACTCGTTCCCCGCCTCTCGACCAGTCTATCCCAATCTACCTTATGAAGTCCTCTGAGTATTTTGTATGCCGTTATCATGTCTCCTCTGGTTATTCTATCCTCCGATGCCTCTCTCAGCTCACTTACCATAGCTTCAGAACTAATTTAGTTGCAAATCTTTGCGCCGTCGATAGTTTCTCAATTTACTAGACCAGGTGTGAGTTATATGTTTGTGTTGTATATTTCAAGACAGGTCTGACGTGTGTCTTATTTAGGTCCGGGAATGTCTTTTGAGAGTTTTAAAAATCTAATCGTAGATTTGTCAAGCAAGGTTTCCTACAAAGATCATTCGGTTGATGTGTACCTTTGGTGAGATGCTCGGCACTATACCCACCCCCAGGCCTTTCACCATGAGTGAGGTTTCCAGCCTCTTCAGTCAAATACAGAGGCAGCAAGAGTAGTAGCGAAGTTAAAATGATGTAATCAGTCCATCAACCTAGAAGAAATAATTGAGGTGGTCAGTCCCTCAGCCTGGAGTAGCGGTCACTACTCCAGGCTGAGGGACTGCTGCCTCTGTATGTGACTGAAGAAGCTTACTGTGTAGGTGATACGTTACAATCAGCAGTAAACATACTCAGCTGGTGCTCGTGTCTCACTCTTCAAGGTATTCTTTGATCCAGTGAAGGAAATTCTTCACTATTGTTGTCTGCTCAAGTTTTTTGGCTCAGTCTCCTGCGAGGTACACTATCATTTTTTTTTTCAGCCCAAGAATATGCAGTTCATTCATATCTCTCTCTCTCTCTCTCTCTCTCTCTCTCTCTCTCTCTCTCTCTCTCTCTCTCTCTCTCTCTCTCTCTCTCTCTCTCTCTCTCTCTCTCTCTCTCTCATATTTCTGTGCAACAGAGTTGCAGGAGGTTTCTGAGACAGGATTTACCCTGCTGGATAATATTTAAAAAAACACTTGTTGACGAGTATTGTATCACCTCCCTTGTTATAGAAGTGTGTGTGTGTGTGTGTGTGTGTGTGCGTATGTGTGTGTGTACTCACCTAGTTGAGGTTGCGGGGGTCGAGTCCGAGCTCCTGGTCCCGCCT